AAATAGCCGCCATTTTGCGGTAGGAAGAGCGCATCGCGTGAGCGGCTAAGAGTTCTGGAAAAAGCTTCGAAATTGAAATCACGTATAAATAAAGTTTATGAATATAATCGTGGTTTATATTTAAAAAGTACCTCTCGCTACGCTAAATCGCTAACCCAAGCTACGACTCCCGTTATAGTACTTCTAGCAATATTTTCATGTAACCTAAAGTTGGTAAGTACCAAATCTAAGTTACAAAAATATTTTCAGTCAACTTTTCTAATTAATGTAAATAAATAGTAAATTACAACTATACTAATAAATAAACAATTCAAGAAATAGGTAAATAAGCGATTGAGAAAGATTACGTATCGCCCGGTGAAGCGGGTGGCGGGGTCACTGCCCTTTCGTGGTGCACATAAGTTCGGGACAATTTTGCAAAACTGTACTAGATACAATTAGCCAGAATATAGAATAATATTTTATATATAAATAATATTTCTAGATAATTTAGCATTATTTCTATTATTAATTTCTTAAATGTGGCGAGAATCAACACGAAGATATTTATGATGTTACTATACTTCCGAAGCTGTTATTGTTTACAAATATCCATGTACAATGCGACAATCAAATTTACGTCTTTTTTAAAACGCAATAAGCTCTTACTAATTTATTTATTGTTCCATTGATTTCATTCAAAGTTACATTCTATTGTTTTTTAGCTGTCACCTTGGGCCTATTGCGTTATGACGACCATAGTAACAAACTTGAATCCTCAAGTGGTCAGGTGTTTCTGCATGCAGGACAGACTATGTGAAGTGGACGATCGTCAGATTCGCACTGCTCAGACAATTCTGTTTTAAAAGATCAAATTAAAATTTTTATATGGGAGAGGCGGTATTCCCAAATGCATAGCATAGGTCCCTTCCTTATGGAGCAGGAACGCTTTCTGCATTTGTGCTGGAAGCGACACGCTACAGAAATCCGCCTCAAGCTGATAGCGAGGCTGTCTGGATTTAACCCGTTATCGGATAAAACAATCGAAATTATTTCAGTAGAAGCCACATTCTACACGTCGGTGATCTCGGGGCTGCGCGTGGAGACTGCAACCCAAGCCTCGTTGTGAGAGTACGCCTGTGCCCAGTAGTGACACTATACAGGGTTATTTTTTGAATACTAATATCATAAGTAACAACTTTTGTCCTATGTCTTTTAATAATTCATCGTTGGTTCTGATTGATCGTAGATTTTATGTTCGTACAAAAATAAATAGAATTAAATATCTATTAGATCTATCTAATAAATCGCTGTAAACGGTAACAACTCTGTGCAGAACTGGGGTGGGAATCGTCTCGGAAGACGCTTGCACGTTTGAACTTATTCTATTAAATGCAGATCTAAAAAGTGTGAAATAGTAAAATAAAATTTAAGGTAAAGAAGGATAGCGAAAGCTGACCCAATAATTAAAAAATCAACGAAGAGCCGTTATAAACTTTGCAAGTACAATTTTATGTTTTTCTTTATGTCTAGTTAACAATATATTTTTGTATATTTTTAGAAGTCGGGAATAAAGAAAATGTAAAACAATGTACTTTGGCATAAATGCAAGGACACAACGCAATTGATTTAGTTCGACCATAGATTATGTAACGTTCGTGTACGTACGTTTCGTTCTAAGCATGATGAATGTTACCTAGAGTATTGGTTATTTTATAGTACACATATAAAACATTATAGCTTTATAATACGTAATCATTGACTTACAATTATATGGACGTCGGATCCGCGCTAAAAAGTGTCCGAACTTATAGGGCGTTAAAATCGTATACAGAGAGATTCACGCTTTAGTCTTCATTTGTTCGACTGACAGCGAAGCAAGCAAAATTAGACAGTACTGCGATGACATTACTATTTAAATTCAACGTTTTAACTTTTTCATATTCCTTTACATGTCACTACGTTTAAATAGGTTGACTTGGGACATTTTTTTCGTGGTTTTTGTATTAGACCCGTCGTCCATTTGTTTGTAAGTCAATGATTACCACACATGTATTTTGTTAAGAAACATACTAACGAAAGATACTCATTCCCAAATAGTTTTTACTAAAAAGATTCTAACTCAAACCAGACAATCAAGAAATGTCCATAATGTATGCCTATACAAAATAAGAATAAGTAAGAATAGTCGATACGAAGGTGCCAATATACATAACAATTTTCCAAAGCATATCAAAGAAATACAATCATTCCTTTTATTATAGAATACACTAAACTTCCACATTATAAAATATAAGTCACCGTCATAGGCAATAATTGCTTTAAGCCGTAACTCTGATAGCAACAGTGTATCCATACGTATGTGAACACTCCAGACTGAGCCCTTGTTGTACAAATAAAATATTTCTGACTACCTACAGAACCAAAAAAAAAGAAAGCTTATTGTTCATGTATGTCTAGCATGGTTATTTCAAAACATAAGTTTTAAGTCTAAGCAACAGCATTGTGAAAACGAGAATCATATGTGTGTACATATACACGATTCCGACACTTCCGAGCTTATTTATCTAGTATTTCTCATTGTAAGTGAATGTTTGTATTCTGTTATGAGAAATAAATGTCTTAAACTTAGACTTATTGTCATGAACGATTTCAAGTATAATTTGCATATCTAATAAAGATTCTTTGACTATGACTTTCGATGGAGTGAACTCGAGAGCGTTTAGCTTTGAGAACCCCAAGGGTTCTATATTTCTAGATACTTGTGGGTATCTGATTTGCGAGCGTAAAGAGGTGTAGCAAATAATACCCTGAGAATATTATTTTGTGCCCTTATTTGGATTATGAAATGAACAAGATGTTGTTAAATGTAATTATATAACGTCTTTCTGTGTCTATCAAGCACAATGAATGCAGGAACAAATTTTAATGACTGAAGCAACAATTTTAACGATTTCAGCAACAATTATAACGATTTCAGCAACATTTATTATGATTTCAGCAACAATTATAATGATTTCAGCAACAATTTCAATCATAGCACCAATTATTTTAAATAATTACTTTTTGTGATTGATTCCATCGAGTATTAGAAGTCAATGTTTTTAGTATATTTTTTTGAAAGCTTTAGCTTAGTTTTATATCAGGATAAATAAAAGGAAAGACGAGTTTATACGACATTTATTTATTATTTAGTAGGTATAAGGTTACATTAGTAATGTAAATTTATTTTAAACATGAACGGATTAAATATACTACTGTTAATTGATATATAATCAGTACATTGATAATATTAAATAACACATATGAGTTCTAATAGCCTACCTAATACCTAAACCTAAATTGTTCATAAATATTAAATCCGTATTTAATTTCGATCAGTTCCAAATTTTAGCGCCACATCCACTTATAAATACAAACAATGCAATATTTTGTTGTTGGACTTTTTGTTGGATTCTGTCCGGTTTTTCTCACAACTTGGATCGTAATTTGAATTTGAAAATTGTCTAATACATTGTTCGTGTTTAAATGTTGAAAGCACTAAAATTACTCTGTAACTCCGGTATTACTATATTAATAATGAGACATTATGCATTTAATACGCTCTAGTAGCCTACACAGTTATATTAATTTGAATAAATATTAAAAGTCACACAATACAAACAACGAATATTAATTTTCAAAAAATTAAAAATAAAGTACTAACTTGGGTGGTTATTGTTTTATCATTAAAATGAGAAATTGAAAATTGTAAAATAAATAAAGGCACTAAAATGAGTCTGTGACTCCTAAATTACTATATTAATATTGTAAGATAATAATACATTTGACATGCTCTAAGAGCCTAGAAGGTTACATTAATTTTAATAAATATCAAAGTCTTTCATTACGATCGATTTTTACCATTTTTACAATTAATTTTAGCGCCATTTTTTTTTACACAAATAATGAAATTTTTTGTGGTTCAGCTTTAAGATGTGTGCCAATGTTCCGCGTTAACTTGGATGATTATTTTTTTTTTTCATCATTAATCTGGGAAATTAAAAATTGTGAAATTTCAAATTGTTCGTGTTCAAATATAAAAGGCACTAAAATGAGTCTGTGATTCCTAAATTACTATATTAATGACTTAAAATTACTATACTAATGACTTAAGGTAATGCATTAATATGCTTCTATGGTTACATTAATTTTAAAAGTCTTTAATTGCGAACGATTTTTTAAATTTTAACGCCATTTTTTTGCACAAACAATGAAATTTCTGTTCTTTGAGATTTGTCCCGATTTTCCACATTAACTTGGATGGTTATTTTTTATTTCATCATTAGTGTGGGAAAATGAAAATAGTGAAATTCATTGTTCGAGTTCAAATACAAAAGGCGCTAAAACGAGTCTGTGACTCGCGAATTACTATATTCATTATATAAGTTAATGCATGTTATTACATGCATTATAAGTCTTTAAAAGCTTACATCATTATAAGTCTTTAATTATGAACGGGTTAAAAATATTTATAGTCACTTCCACTTACACATACAAATCATGAACTTTCGCTATTCAACGCTTGAATTTTGAAACGAATTCAAAAGACTATCACGAACATTATTTCATAGCTGTTGGATCCATAAATAGAAGCAACTAAAATGTTAATGTCCGAAATATATTAGCTGGTTGGTACTCTTCATTATTATCATAAATTGCCTCTGTGGCCGAACGGGCCTCTTTATCTGAAACTACATTAAACGCCCTTTGTTTTTTATTGACTGCTCAAATGTCTAGCATATAAATACGGAAATCTACTTTTGAAATGGTCAACAACGTCGAATCTCGACTTTTTTTCCGAACGCTAAAATGCAGCGAGATTGAAAGCCCCAAATGTAACTTAGAAAATAAAGCCATAGGTACATGCGGCCACAGTGTTTCGAACCGCCGACCGCTCAATCGGAAAGCAATCTTTAACCGATAATCGTTCAATTACCAAACAATATCATGATGTAGGCCTACGCACTATCAACCCTCGCTATAGTCCCTTGTCATAATCAGTACCAGAACCAGCTGAATATAATCGTATCTAATTTCAACGCCTTAATATCTAAGTTCTAAATCGAATACATGGTTAAAAAAAGTAAATTTAAATCACTACTTATACATGAGCATTCCATTTACGTATTTCTTCAATTATCTACACCGCGACTTCCTGAAAACAGAACAACAACATTGATTATCGCATTTTTTTATTATCCCAGCTGCCATATTGTTCCATGGCGTACCCTGCTTGTAAGCAATAAAATCGGGCTGTTAACAGAATATGCTGAATAACTGCAAAGTTTAAAATAACTGTGTAATCCCGAAATTCGTACTATTGTAAAGAATACTTATTTAATAAATAACGTATTGTTGGGACCAATGTAGAGTCCAAACGCGATAGTTTTAAGAGTGAGACACACAGAGAGTATGTATTTATGTACGCGCCCGTCTCGCGTTTATTTCATACAAACAAGGCAGACAAGAGAACATAATACAATTTCTCGCCAAACTGCGAAAGCGGTTTGTTGGCGAGGTCACACTCATAATCACAAAACTATAGTATACCTAATACGAGTACATTTAACAAAACCAGTGTAAAATTTACTAAACTTACATGCTCCCAAGAAGTATAAGTTTAAATTTTTCTTCAATGTGAATTTACTTAACAATTCTCTGCCTCTAAAAAAAATCGAATTTATTAAATATAATTGGCAAGAGATGTCTATTTGTTCTTTTACCATAATAGTTATTAGCTCTTGGAGATACATATTTACTTTCACGGGCTCGCCAAGTGTTATACTTGTTCGTTACATTAATTTAGTATCAGTTGTATATAGTTTTCAATAGCAGCCAAATATTGAACTTTTGCTTTCACAAGAAGTATTTTACAATAGGTGAATAGGTAGTTTATCATAGTTTCCCTTAAACTATACTTGGTTTTACGACTTGAAGAACTAGAACTTTGAAGGATTTTTACGTCGTCGCTGAGGTATGTTTTAAAGGTTCGGCCTTAGCAACTCAGTCCGTAAGTCAGAATAGAATAAACCGATGCGTAATACACTATACGCAGACTACGTTTATCTAACAGCGATTTTAAGTGATAAAATGTGTTTAACAGTATTCTAAGCTTCGAACATACCTCAGCGACATATATTTTCCAGTTAAATATATTATTAACATGCAGACCTAAGTATTTAAACAATCTATATAAATACACGGAATTAGACCCGCCGCGGCTCGGACCCGACCCGCTACGACCCGCACGCGCTCTCTATGTGTCTCATGCTTTAAAGTAAGTAGACGAGAGATTGAGTGGTATGCAGACTGTCCTGATGGCAGCATCAAATCAAAGCTATCAAATTACTGTAATGTCACCGATCCTCTTACATTTTGAAGACTTTAAAGGCCTAAAATCTATATTTTAGGCCGTCTAAACTCGAAAACCTCTTAATTCACTAACAGTTGTTGCCATCGAGTATATAACCAGAATTAGAGACGAAACGTCATTAATTTAATTTGTTTAAAAACGATTCTGCCGAATCATCACGGTGACAATTGCGCTCTGATTGGCCAGACCGAATTCGAAACAACTGACGGGTATCGTCAATTGTTTTACTTCAAATCGTCCAGTTTAACTTGAGCTTTGCTATAATGGGTGAAAATTGAATTGAAGGAATGCATTAGTCTTGCATTAAAATAAATTAATAAAATTGAACAAAATGCAGACTTCTTGTGACGTCATTTAGATTCGGTTATTGTGAATAAAATTGAAAAGAAATCGTCCGATATCAAATCGAACCGGTCGTCAACAGAGTTATCATAAGGGTCTGAATCGACCTGCTGATTATATCAGTTTTCAAATAAAAAGACCGCTGTCACATCATTTGGGAGCTGCGGTGCGATGATGGCAGTACTTGCAGGTTTACGAAAAAAGAGGCGTCACTTTTTTTATTTTTAACAGATATCAAAACGGGCTTAGATTCTCAATTGAATCGTATTTTTTTGGGTATGTTATCATTGACTTACAATTATATGGACGTCGGGTCCGCGCTAAAGTGTCCGAACTTATAGGACGTTAAAATCGTATACAGAGCGTCATTCACGCTTTAGTCTTCGTTTGTTCGACTGACAGCGAAGCAAGCAAAATTAGACACTACTGCGATGACATTACAATTTAAAAGCTTTTTCATATTCCTTTACATGTCACTACGTCTAAATAGGTTGACTTGGGACTTTTTTCGTGGTTTTTGTATTAGACCCGTCGTCCATTTATTTGTAAGTCAATGTATGTTATGCGATTAATCAAATCATTATTAATTAAATTTTTATTGAATTGATATTCAATTATTTTTTGTAAAATTACTCCACTAGTTTGTTATAATTATTAATACAAAGATGTCTAAAGATACAAAGAGACTAAAAAGTCGTTGAAAGACCAAGTACAAAGACACGACGCAAGCACATAGAAAAATTCGTGAGGTCCGTTGGTTCGTTCCGTGGCTTAGTTGGTATAGCGTCTGGCACGGTATGCAAGAAGACGTCGGTTCGAATCCGACCGGATCGAAGGAATTGTTTCTGAGTGTTTTTTCTGAGTGTTCCATCTTTGTATTAATAATTATAACAAATCATTATTTCTCAAATTATTTAAGAACCAACATTGAAGACTTTTTTTGTTCGAAGCAAGGTCCCTCACTATTTGTCCCAATTTGAAGAAAATTTGAAGAAAATGTTCCACTTCTAAGGGTAGCAAATTAGTCGAATCCGGTTTCGTACACTTTCCGTTATCCGATTACAATACAACTTGGCAAACAGATGTAATTTCAATAAAAAAGTCGATAAGTAAACTTTTAAGGTAGGTTTTTTTCAATAAAATAGTTCTAATTATCGAGTTATTTGGTTTTCGCGATCGTTACACATAGGAAATAATAACGCACACTCAACATAATAACGCACACACTCAACATAACCCCGCACTAGGGAAAACCCTGTGTCGCAGGTGCCATGGACACACACATAGAAAACCACAAATTACACCCAAACTCACGAGAGAAATAAATGTAGGCCATACAAATATTTCTCCCGACCCGGGAATCGAACCTGGGACCTCTGCGTGGCAGTTCGGCGTGGTAACCGTTCGGCCACGGAGGCAGTTATGACACTATTTTTCCGGATTTAAATCGCGTATAATTGTTTTTTCAAACAAACCGACGTTTCGGGCCATTAACAGGTCCCATTGTCACGGTTGACTGAGGTGGTATAGTCATCAACCAGTTATGTCTAATATTAATGCAAACCACCCTATTTTTTCACTAAAGTTACAAAAGTTATTAATTAAAAAATACCTTATTATTAATTTTTCAAAGAAAACATTCCAATTTACGTTACATTACGTTTTACAAATTATTTTATTGAATGATTTTTTATTGAATTCAATTTATTATTAATTAATAATAGAAATTAGAGTAAATTAAAACATATTAATTAGTACTGCAGTCTTATGCATGTTTGGGATTTTTCATCAGAGGAAATACTGGAACCCAAACTGGTGGTACGGAGAAACCATCTTCCCTGTTGAAGTTAGGATGTTTTTTTTCCTTGGTAGATAACGGCCTGAAACGTCGGTTTGATTGAAAAAACAAATACACCCGATTTAAATCCGGAAAAATAGTTTCATTTCATAAGTTATGATTATTTTGTACATATTTTGTATTGTTTTGATTAAAACTCCTGTTTTTTATACATAGAAGGCTATAAGGCTTCAAAAATACCAAGTTCATAATTCAAATAAACTCACTGTGCGAAAACGCGGCGAGTTTACGAAGTAAGTGACGCGACCGACTCTCATAGGGGCAATTGAGATAAATCACCGCTCCATCGGATAACAGGAACACTAACGAGCTAATAACTAAATATCGCTGCTGCATGTTACTCTTACTAAATACTATAACGTCGGATACGTTGTGGTAGCGACGTGGTACAATACTTTCTAAGCTGTCATCGAGTATATAACCAGAAATAGAAACGAAAAAGGGCCATCCATCACTGGCCACTCATCAGCAAATGAGCCTTATATCACCTTTAAACTTCAACTCTAAAATATAATAGAAATAGTACAGGGCCATCAACAGACCTGGTGTACGTCTGTGCATATTCCATAAATATCCTGTATTTACCGTAATAAAGATAATATCTCTAACTGTCGGGAGCTGCTCCATTCGGTGGTGTGAGAAAAACGCAAAACATCTATTTACAAAATCACTTTTCATCAGTAATTAAATATGTAATTTTTCTATTTTCATCTATTATAGCAAAGCTCAAGTTAAACAATTGACGACACCCGTCAGTTGTTTCGAATTCGGTCTGGCCAATCAGAGCGCAATTGTCACCGTGATGATTCGGCAGAATATTTTTCAAACAAATAAAATTAATGACATTTCGTCTCTAGTTCTGGTTATATACTCGATGGCAACAATTGTTAGTGAATGAAGAGGTTTTCGAGTTTAGACGGCATGATAAGTAGTTCATAACTATGTTGTCCAAATGGCGTATCCACTTAAACTTTCTTAAAGCTTGAGCGAAAGATCCCTTCATGGTTACAGCCGCATTTCAACGAGGATTACGTATCCCATAGTCCTCTGTAGAAGACCTATTTAACATCTTTGTTTTATAATTAATGTATGTTGTGTTTTTTAATTGATTGTACTTATATAAAAGAATAAAAATACCTAGTAAGTAAAATTTTTCGTCCTTCGTAACGAGGTCTGAAATTGTAATTTTTCATAGTTTATAATATTTTTACGGTAGCCATTTTGAAACTCCTCAATTTTCACCCGTTTAATTGGAAAGGCAATGGTAAAAACCAAACAGCCTCATAATTATATATTGTTTCCTTGTTTCGCCGGTTGTTTGAATTTTCACAGCTATAGAGTATAGACAAAAACCCAGATAATAAAGCTGCATGTGTTAAAGATAAGGACCCATGCATACACGGTGTCTGTGTTCACATTATACAAACAAATGTAATTTAATTTCTTGCCTAAACGTGGGCAAAATTCTTTTTATTAATTCGAAAAACTCTATGTCGCTTTATGGTGTCATCGTTCTCAAAGCCGTATCTATTCAAACGAAACAAGTAAAATCTAAATTCCCGTTTATGCTTAAAATGCACGCTAAAACGTCAATTTTTAAAATAACCATACACGATATAGCATTTTAAAAGAAATTTGTTTTTTAAAGTTAGCTAGTGGCAAAAACAGCACAGCCTTTTGCGTCAATCTATTATATCGCGATTAACCTATAACATATGTCATAAAAGCTGCTTACGTCACAAAATACATTCTGATATTCTGAATAAAACTTATTCCTCAAAATTTGTTATTTACATCTGTTGGCGATGAATATTTTTATAACTTGTTACGTTTCTCTTTTAAAAAGTTAGCAAGTGGTAAAAACCGCACGGAAGTTTTGGCCAATCCTCTAAGTTGTAAATGTATGTCTGTATGTACACTTGTGTTAGGAGTGGAATATTTCTTAAGATTTCCGGCCTCGGAAATTATGTCATTGTTTTAAAAAACAGTCTATGTTTTTATAGTTCTCATTTATAAATAAGAAAGTTATGGTCTGTTAGAGTGCGAGTGAAGTTAGATTGTAATTTCAATTTTAAATTGTAAGGCAATCATTTATTAAGTCCACAGTTCTCAAACAGCACGTTGCACTCCCATATAGTATTAAAAATACTAACAAAAGACGGAAAGATATTGTCTGCCCCAAAATTGTATCATCAATTCTTTCAAATCATGTCCTATGATGAAACAGATAATTTATTAATTTTCCCAAAATAAACGTTGTCTAATTTGAGCGTATAGGTATATGATATGCATTTTATTGTTTAGTAAAATTATTATTTAATTAAATTTTTATTGAATTGATATTGAATTTTTTTTTGTGAAATTACTCCAATAGTTTGTTATAATTATTAATACAAAGATCGAACACTCAGAAAAAACACTCAGAAAAAATTCCTTCGATCCGGTCGGATTCGAACCGACGTCTTCTTGCACACCGTGCCACCGTACCGTTGTGAATAGCGACATCTCTCGCCAGGACTGGTGGCTGTAAAGGTACTAACTGGGTGATAAATCTGTCATAGATTTGTCATAGATGGCGCTACGACTAAAAAGTCGTTGAAAGACCAAGTAAAAAGTCCGAAAGTCCGTGGGTTCGTTCCGTGGCTTAGTTGGTATAGCGTCTGGCACGGTATGCAAGAAGACGTCGGTTCGAATCCGACCGGATCGAAGGAATTTTTCTGAGTGTTCGATCTTTGTATTAATAATTATAATAAAGTTATAATTTTTTTTTATAATTTAATCATATATATCCACCTATATAATTAGTACTTTTTACCTGAAATACAGGATTCTCCTAGTTCAGGTATATGTGTTATATTTTACGTTGATACGCATAATTAGCCTTAGCTACTCTTTGTATAATAAGTTATTCAATAAACAATTTATTATTATTATTATTATTATTTATACATTAAAATAAGGAAAACTTACACGGACTCCTTCTGGGTTGTCGTCACTCGATGGATCTTGGATGTTGCTGGATCTCGGCCTATGATGAATAGCGACGTGAATAACACTACTGCTCTGGTTACCGAAGTACTCCTCCTGTTCAAAAATAATATTTTTACTGTTTGAAATATAAAATCAGATAACAAATAACTAGTTCTTTTTTTAGAACCTTTCGTAATACACGCCTTAATAACATTGAATGTCTTCAATTGCTTGGGAAGCAGCTCTTCAAGCTGAGGCGTGACAAATGTGGCACAGGAGACTCGTGTCTTCGTACAATTTACTCATTGCATTTAAGGGCCAAATCCAACGGCGTTGCTTTTAGGGCCAAATTTAACGGCGTTTACCTTGCCACCACTAGTATTGGATTAAAATTCAAATTATGGTCGTTTTGAATATATTTATATATATTTTAAAAAGTCACACTATATAACCAACACTAGTTACCTAAAATGAAAAAGAATGAACATGCTCGCTTGTACACTACGTGTGTATGTACGTATTATATACATGTAATAAATAAATAAATTCACTAATAACAAATCACAACATATATTTGACAGATTGAATTTCAGAAAAACAGAACATATAACATAGTGTGAGCGTGATTATTAATATCAAAATAGTGAAGGGAGTACTAAATGACATCTACATGCAAATAAACAACGAGATTGATTGTAAAAAATTACATAAAACAGTTTACTTACCTTATACGTAACAACATATAAATAAACGTGACAAACGGTGCGTGAAATCCACGCACTGCTAGAACCTGTACTCAAAGTGCAATGGAAACTCTTCTGTTTCATTGCATTTACTCTGAAACGAGTTTAGTAGTCAATATTCATTAATGATCATACTGAATTTTTAATGTGTGCTGCTGCATTGGAGCGATGGTAGCACTACATGGCGGTATCACCGCTCGGTCTATTCATGCGTTCCTCAAACGCTTGTCTCGGTAGTTTATAACGTAACGGCAATTTTTATTGCTTATAAATATGCTCGGCCGTTTTCAAGCCTCACTCATCGCTCAACCCTGTGTGAAGCATATAAGGTTCATAGGGGAATGCTGATAGCTCGTTTATATTAGTTGTTAAAATTTTGAATGCGATAAATTTCGAAAATTTTGTCTAATTCACATGACAACTACGCAAAAAGCAATACCAGTGAGTTATTTTCTAGAAGATTCCATGGCTACGCCGATGGAGTAATGTCGCACCCTTTACAATAAAGTAACACAATTCGCAAATCAAAGCAATTGACAAAATAAATTAAAACTAAGTGTTTCTTTAATCAATTTCATTTTCAAATTCAAATTATAAAACTGACTAGTAAAAATCTATCGGTGTAAAAAAAATGTTAAAAAAGCCTTATTTAATTACTGAAATTACTGAAAATAGGGTTTTTGCCAATAGAGAATTGGCAAAAACGTGCTTTATTCCTAACACTTTTGATGTGTATGATTTTTTTTTACATTTTAAATTTCGAATTTTGCAACTTTATTATCGAGAATGCGGTGTGGTTAGATCATGGCAACGGTAACATTTTTCAGTTATTCACAGATCTCTAACAAATATATTATTAACAGAAAATGACTCATTGGATATTTTATTGCGGAAACCGTCACTTACCGAAAAAAAAATCTGCCAATTGCATCCCGACCCGCCGATTTTAAAACGAGCTTCGTTCTCATTCCCCGCGTAATTACGGTCTGAAAAACAGTTTCTGATCTCATCTGACATCACCGTACATCGTGTAGTAACATCGCGACTTATTAACTTCACATGACTTAAGCATCCATATACATGAATTCAGAATAATTACAATTACAATATAGCATAAAAATGTACTAATTTTCAAATTACAAAACATAGGAATATACAATAAGTAGGTAATAGAATACTCCTCCATTTGTCCACGCCTTATTGGTTAAGGCTTGTTGATAGGTTCTTCAATCCTCGTTAATTATGACGTCACACGTATCTATTGATACAGCATAATGTAATATAGGCTCGTGGTTCTTATTTGCTATAGTTTAGAGGCTAAATTAGCAAAACATTCGCCACGCAGTCTTTAGTTGCCTCTACCATGAGTTTACAATGTCAATGTCGCACGTCATGTAATTTGCAAGAACGTTGCAGAATTTGCCATACCCAAATTATGGTATGGCAAATTCTGCAGCGCCCCTGGCGGTCACAAGAAGAAGTAACAATTTATTTACTAAGATTTTACGTAGTCGCTACAAATGTCAATGAAAACTCACTGCATAGGTATCTTGTGCTTCTAGACTGTGAGCTTAAAAGGAAGGCATAAGGTTCTATGCAGTTCAGATTACATGATAAAACTGAATTGTTTCAATTAGTTCATGAACTACACAAAGTCAAAAGGGAATTTGCACGACGAGTTTTTTTTAAACATTAATAAAGACCGAGATAGAAAAACAATCAATCACATTTTACATTGATAAAAAAGATAGCTGTACTATTCTCGGAGCGTTCAAGAATTATAAACCGATTGTGCTCGAAAAGAGAAAATTGTTTTCTAAAATGATTTTATTATTGATTAAATGGAATATTTTATTACATCGACAGTTGTGCAATCATATTTGCCATTATCATTGAAATGATTGCGGTTAGTTTGCAATTTGACAACAGATCTCGAACGCATCTATTCCTTTTTTTTTATAACTTTACACTCTACATCAAGCTAACAAAAAATAAAGCAGTAAGTGTGATCTATATGTAAGTTTTTTATTGTTTATTTTGAAAGCTGAGACTCTATTGCATTATATATACAGAGTGTTTTTTTTAATGGGACAGTGTGGGGAAATTCGAAACCATAGAAAGTAAATCATTTAGTATTTTTTGTGAAAACAATTTTGGCAGTCAATTTTTCGGTCAAGCGTGAGTTGTAAAATAGTCGTACCGTGTTACGATAGAATTCATATACTTCCTTTGTCAACAGCAATGCGTTGCAGAATTGCAGTTAAAAAATAAATAATTTCTCTCAAATTTGACGTTTTAAGTAATAAAAATAAAACAAATAAGTATTATTGCTTATAAGTTGTCGTTTATTTTTTTTAATTAGGTACCACACTTAATTCGAAAAGTACCACGTACGAGAAGAGTGTGACCGGCAGTGTAACGTAAAAAAGAATCAATTTCGTGCGTTAAACACTTTAGCAGTAAAGATACTATAAATTTGACATAATTCAAGGTGCATTGTCAATCCTTCTACACGGCGGTCTGTGGGTTAGCTATACATAGAAGGCACTCGGCGCCCGGCGCGTTCAATATAACAACGGTTTCAGGATGCTGTTGGGACTACCGCTACACTCTTAACGCATCGTCGATGTTTGTTCAAGGTTAGTTTTATTTACTTTATACTAGTCTTCGAAAAGTGAGCGTCAGTTTACAAAATAATGAAGAAATAAATACGTAATAGTAAGTCATAAGTATACTACAGTGTACGTATACAAATCAACATAATTAATGAAACTAAATAAATAAATGAATTAAACTAACAATGTCAAGTGTGTACAGGAAAATGTCAATATGGATTCGTAGTAACCATTGACTTACAAATAAATGGACGACGGGTCTAATACAAAAACCATGAAAAAAATGTCCCAAGTCAACCTATTCGAAATTTAAATTGTTATGTCATCGCAGTATCGCGCTGTCCGTAGAACAAATGAAGACTAAAGCGGAGTGTCGCGCTCTGTATACGATTTTAGCGCCTTACAAGTGCGGACACTTTTTAGCGCGGACCCGACGTCCATATAATTGTAAGTCAATGTTGTACACTGATAACTGCACGCTGTGTAATTACACGATTCATAAAAATTTTCACGATAGATAACAAAAAACACAAACTTGCCTCGAAACTTTACAAGAAAACCGGTGTATTCAATAGGTACTTTACATATAACGATGATTTTTTTTTATATCAACTGAACTAAATAGTACAAATACAGTATACGATATATATTTTTCAAAAGGCTCTGTATTCGTTTGTAAAAAAAAAATTCTAAAGTAAAGGCAGTGTCTTGCCACTCGATCTAAGCACAATGAACCGTATAAGGGTGCCTTTCCACCATAGATGTGCGAGGTAGCGAGGCGGAGTTTCTTGCTCGTTCTTCTCAGGGAGGTCAGCGTAGTGAACGAGCAGTAGCTTAAATGTGACGTTTTCAAGTGTAAATTTATTTTACCTTTGGAATAAATAATCTTTGACTTTGACTTTGAAAAACAGCACGATCTTCGACCGCAGCACCTATGTAACAGCGATTCGAATTTATAAGACTTTCAATGGAAATGAAATATTTAAATGGTGATAAATTTTAAGCTTGTTTAAAAAAATGGTTAATTGATACAGTTTTTTATAATCTTAACGAATTTTTTATAAAGACATCAAATATTTGACAATTGTACAACTAACTTAATTACAATTTTAATTTTGATAATTGAGTTGTAATAAATTTTAATTGAATTGTAATTTTAAGATATTTTACGCCTGATTTGGTTAAGAATTGTAGATCTAATCACTTGTAAGTAACACCTGTATTTCACCAATTCATACAATAAATGTTTCTGATTTCTGACATATCGCCACCGCTCACCCTACCCCAGAGTTCGTAACGCATCCCCGCACGGATTTGGTGGAAAACATCACACCGTTCCACAGCGCCGCTAGACATTCTCGAACCGCCTCGCTACCTCTGGTGGAAAGACAGCCTTAATACGGGAAATATTGAGATAGTATAGACACTTAAGGTAAATTATGTAAGCTAAGGTGAGCTAGGTTGTAAAATTATATGCTTTGTATGGAGAATTTTGAGTTCTTAAGACATGAATCGTTCATCTATTTCATTGTAAACCTGTGGTTTAAATAAAATTGCGTTGCATAACTCTTTTTGTAACTCATGGTGTAACCTATTGAAGTATGTGTAAAAAATATATAAAAATATTAAAGTTATCTTTTTCAATAATTTGTGTGTATTTTTTTAAGAACACTGCACTAAAAAGTAACGTTAAAGAATATTAATCCTTCATTTACGTCCCTACAAAAGTATTCAGTGAATTGTTCTACGAGTTTAT